GCTGGACTAGATGACCCACAGAGGTCCCTTCCAACCCCAAACATTCTGTGATTCTGTGAAACCACTGACAAAACCCTGATTAAAATGGGAAGAAGGAAAATTGCAGTTGAATGCAAACGCCTGGCTGGGCTGAGGGTCCAAGCAGTTCAGCGCCTCGCTCCAGGCAGTCCATGCAATCTGCTGCCAGTGCTGTTGTGCCTTCCTCCGTAGCTGTTTTCTGGCTTGGGTCAGCTTGGTCACTGTGTATGTGTATATCATCGACTCTTAATTTAGGGTGGAGAGGACCTCTGGAGGTCATCTAGCACAGTCCTCTGCTCAGGGCAGGGATAGCTTCAAAATTACTTCAGATTGCCACAGATTTTGCTTGGTCACCTTCTGAAAACCTGCAAGGACGGAGATTTCACAGCCACAGCCTGCTCTGGTGCTTAACCACTCTGTGAACATTTTTTTCCTTATGTTCAGTCAGCATTTCCCAGTTTACATCTTATGTCTCTTGCCTCTCAACCTTTAGATGTACATCTCTGAGGACAATCTCACTCTGTCTTCTCCATAACCACGCTTCAGGGGGTGGAAAACAACTAGATCCCTCCTTAAAATAAACTCCATAACATTGTGGCATCCTATGGAGAGAGCAGCTCTCCATGCTCATTTTTAGTCTGGGGAAATAAGTTGTTTTTTAAACCAGACTGATTTGGGGATGGCAGTGAGGAAGAATTTTCTCTTCCCACAGGATCTTTGAAATGAGCCTGACCTGGAAACGGATGCTTGCGTGGACATCTCTGTGGTCTGTGGAGCAGAGGAGGTCCATCAAACAGCTGGAATTTATACACCCCCAAATCCTGAGGGAGGCAGAGAGGACCGTTCCCATTTGTTTGTTTCAGTTTTCAGTCAGACAGCATTTTCTGGTTTCAGTCCAAAGCCATTTTTATTAAAGGCTGCAGGAGGGAGCGTGGGCTTCAGATGAGATGGAAGCGCAGCAGCAGGGTCTGGGAGGGCTGTGTGCTGCCGGGGAAGGCAGCCAAACTGCCCTGTCCTCTCACCTGCGTCCATCAGTGGTGACTGCATTACTTTACATTGGAGAGACCACTAACCTTTACCTGCCCAGGACTAGGACCTAGTCTGAGGAAAGCTGGTTAGTGACTGTCGCACGATCATACTCCTCATGAGAGCGCCTTTCAGTAGCGTCTCATGTCCTTCACCAAATAGTGCTCCAGAATCAGAAGGTAAACCAAAAGACATGTCCAAAACGAACACAAAAGCCTTTAATGAATATCTTCACAGTAGGTTGAGGGCTTGTCTTACCCGTACACTTTACACTCACTACTCAGGCTGTGCGTGTACTGCACTGCCTGTCTGCACAGGTACGGAGGTTCCTGTCTGTGCACTATTTCTGTACAGGGAGTTAAACTGTATTTGTACAAAGCACTTTTAATGGTATAATTGTGTTCATACAAAGTGGTGTACGAATTGTGCACCATACAAACGGTGTGCTGTTCTCATGGTACGGTGTTACAAAATGTAGTAGCAATGAACTGTATCCTTCTCCTAGTAAAATGTTTCCGTCTGAACATGAGGAAGAACTTCTTCCCTCTGAGGGTGATGGAACACTGGAACAGGCTGCCCAGGGAGGTCGTGGAGTCTCCTTCTCTGGAGATATTCCAGACCCGCCTGGACAAGGTCCTGAAAAAAGACCCTGCTTTGGCAGGGGGGTTGGACTGGATGACCCACAGAGGTCCCTTCCAACCCCGAGCATTCTGTGATTCTGTGATACTGTAATTCTGTAAAATACATAAAATACTTAAAGCTGGTGACTGGATAAGACCTCTGAGTTAGCAACTATTGAAATATTATAAAAATATACATGAAGACAAGTTCAAGCAAGTCCAGGTCTATCTCTTACTCAGACATCAGCATGGTTTTATTTTGATCAGATTTGGGAGCGCAGATATGAAGAGAATGGGATGGAACTAAGTAGGGTTCGGGAGGAAGGACATGGGGAAATAGTTCTGGGGACAGAACCAGAGGGCTAATACTGATTAAAAAGGAAATGCATATGTAAAGGTGGTATTTGAGTAAAGGGAGGAGTGTAAGAGGTGATGTACAGGTGGATGCTTGTCTGTGGAACAAACAGATGAAGAGCTGGAAAGGCTGAGCAGGGATTTTTAAACCAAGGAATCTGGGCCTGAGGATCAGGTCCTGGGACTGAGCAGAAGAAGAGATTTGGACAAAGAGCCAGACCAAAAAGAAGACAAAATCACAAAAACAAAAACAAAACAGTTAAGCGACCTGGGGACTGGCTAGTCCAACACCCTGGTCAAAGCAGGGTTGCCTGGAGCAGGCTCTAAGGACTGTGTCCAGCTGGCTTTTAAATGTCTCCCAGCACTCCCCAGCCTCTCTGGGCAACCTGTTCCAGTGTCTGACCCCCCACAAAACTAAGTGGAATTTTGTGTATTTGTTTGTGCCCACTGCCTCTTGTCCTTTCACTGGGCACCACTGAGAAGAGCCTGGCTCCATCGTCTTTGCACCCTCCCTTCAGGTGTTTGTACACACTGAGAAGATCCCCCTGAGCCTGCTCTTCTCCAGGCTGAACTGTCCTAGCTGTCCCAGCCTCTCTTCACATGACAGGTGCTCCAACCCCTTTATGAACTTCTTGGCATTTCATGGGACTCACTCCAGTCTGTCCGTGTCTCTTGGACTGGGGAGTCCCAGAGCTGGACCCAGCACTGCAGATGGATCTCTCCAGCACTGAGCAGGGCGGGACCATCACCTCCCTTGTCCTCCTGGCCATCCCAGAGCTGGACCCAACACTCTGGATGGATCTCCCCAGCACTGAGCAGGGTGGGACCATCACCTCCCTTGTCCTCCTGGCAACACTATGCCTAGTGCAGCCCATCGTGCTGTTGAATACAAAGGGACATTTCTGACTCGTGTTCAACATGGTGTCCACCAGGACCCCAGATCTGCACAGCCGCTGCCTGCCCAAGTGGCCCCCAGCCTGTACTGGAAATGGGATTATTCCTCCCCAGGGACAGGACTTGGCATTTCCCTTTGCTGAACTTCACAAAGTCACTTTTTTGCCAAGAAGTGTTGGACCAGATGATCCCTGGGGTCGCTTCCAGCCTGGTATTCTATGATTCTATGTTGAGTCCCTGTTCGCCCATTCCTACAGCCTGCTGAGGTTCCTCTGAATGGCAGCACACCCATCTGGTCTATCAGCCACTACTCCTGGTTTTGTGTTGTCTTTGAACTTGCTGAGGGTGTGCAGGGGTAGGCTATGAGAGCGCTTCCAGGGTTTTTTTGTACTTAATTAATTCTGTACCCAATTGGTGTGCGCACATGCAAAGAAACGAATCTGACCTCTCTGAAATCTCATCTTCTGATATTGCAGTGATATGGTAGGGCTCACCAGCAGGTTTTGAATTGTCAGTTCAGCCTCCAAGGCCTTTCTCTGCTCCTCAGACACTGGACACGCATCTAGCCTGTAGTGAGATGATCTCAGATGGGTGGGAGGTATCTTTCATAAGGCTTACTGCTTCAGGTGATGCCTGCAGAAGTTTCTTGCCGTCTGCCTTGCTGAAAGCTAAATGTCTGCAAATCACAGCCTCTTTGCTTTGTAATCTCAATATTGTGAAAACTACATTTTTAACTGAAGAAAGCAACGCCCTGCTTTGGCAGTGTCCCTGGCTGCGTCCCCGGCTGCTTGGGTAGCCCTCCAGCAACTGGTGCGAAGTTCAAGATTTCTCGCAGCAACATCTAAGTTTTGCAAGCGGCGGAGTTGTTCCCTGTCCCAGAGGGGAGGAGAACTGGCTCTGCCTTTTCAGAAAACAAGGGCTTGGCCCCTGGGCTGCTCGGCGCTTTGCCGTCTTGTCCCCACGGCAGCGATCAGCTGGCAAGGCTGATAAAAGGGGCCCTGTTCATTGACCCGGGCAATCCCGGCCAGCGCGGCCGTGCCGGGTGCTGCGGCAGGCAGCGAAGAGGCAAAATGGCTCTTGCTCTCCTCTTGGCAGCGATCCTGGGATTTGTTATTGCCAGGGCTGTTTTGTTTCAGCTGAGAAACCCGAGCTCCCCTCCCTGCATCAGGAGCTGGATCCCTTGGTTTGGAGCTGCGTTTCAGTTCGGGAAAGCTCCCCTGGAGTTCATTGAGCAAGCCAGAAGCAAGGTAAGGTCTGTGGCAGCGTGCCTGCTCGTGGGTGCGTGCTCGGGGTGGCTGCCTGCAAGGGGAAAGGCAAAGAGAGATTTCTGTGTGGAGTTTGTCCCTTTCCTTTCACGTTTTGTAACACCAGGAGCGTTTAGCTGGTGAAGGATTGGCTTTGTACAGTAACGTTGCTAAGTTGTGGATCCGATCCAGGCACGATCTCTGTGCTGTGACCATCCTGTTCGGACCCAGCACCTCCGCTGTTCTGCTTTTGCAGTCTGGCTGTGTGTTAATCTTGATTTCAGATAATGTGGTAAGCCCTGCGCCAGGCACTGGGACCAGGAGACTAATTATATGCATGCCTAAAGTTAGGGGAGATTCCTGAGTACCAGCTGGTGTCCCCCAACATTCGAGAGAGACACACGCATGCTTGGCAGGCAGCTTTTTGCATCCTAAAAGAACTTAGCAAAGACAGGTGTGAAGATTTACCCCTGAACATGCCTTTCTTTATGTCAGTCTGATAGAGAGAGCCTAAATGATTAGTTTATATGAGATGCTTCATTTATAGGCAGCTAATACTAACTGACATAAGCCCCACCTTCCCATTTTCATTCGGGGATGATATCACCTGCTGCTGATGCAATACAGTCAGCTTCAAGTGCCCCGTAATGAAGGGTCGCACAGCCCACTGCTTGCACAAACTAGCTAAAAACAAAACCACTGTAACATCCTGAAATTTGAAAAAAAAGAAAAAAAAATACTGGATGTTTAAAAATTTATTTTTCATTTTGAACTATTAGATTTCATATTTATAAGTACTTCTTTGCAGTCATGGTTGTTGAACTTGTGGTGTTAAATGAAAGCAGAGGTTCAAATATAACCAGCTGAAGTATGAGGTGTAAGAACATCAAGAGCTGTCAGTTCTGTGTTGAAGCACATGAAGCGCACTGTAGAGTAAGCTCATGTGTATGATCTGGAGTTCCTTGGCTTCTCTGAGCTAAACGGGCTGGTTTTAACTGTATATTGCTATGTCATTCCTGTATCCTTCATCTGTGCATACCATGATCAGTTATTTGTTCGTTCATCTTAGGGCAGAAATGTAGGGCTGGAGGAAAACTCATTCCAGTCCATTCTCCTACTATTGCAGAAACCGTGCCATATAAGCCTTTAAATAAACTGATCAAGCCTCAATCAAAACAAAACAAAACAAAAAATCATAATATTTCTTTGACTCTTCTGATCCAAGACTGTTAGAGAACCTACTTGTTTTGTTGAAAACATATCCTGGTGGCAACCAGATTAAAGCAGCCTGCCAAACTGGCCTTTCCAGTGCAATCCCTTTTGGGGACAGATGTTTCACCCTGACTTACGCTTGCTTCAGTTGCCTTTTTTCCCAGAAAGCTGTTAGCAAAACCTCTTGGGTGAAATTTCAAAACAAACCTGATAGAAGAGTCCTTTTTTTGGGGTTCATTCAAAGATTGAATGCACAAAACTTTTACATACTAAAGAATGTATTGAAGTATCAATGCAAAATTAGTGCCTATGGGTCTGTTGATTTTGATATTCATATGTCTGGAGACCCTTTAGGCCACTCTTGGTGCTATGGCAGCTGCTGCCACATCCAAACATACCAGAAACACCTGAAGGACTTTATAAACCGCAGGTTTTGTTGGGATGGAAACTAGAACAAGAAACATTGTGAATGGGAGAAAACTCAAAATAAGACAAAGCAGGAAGAGAAGGCTCTCTTACGTATCTCACCTTTACTATGTGTTTGCAGATAGGACCTTTCCTTTGACTTTTTGCTTAGCACAGCAACTCAGCACCCTTCTGAGTTGTGACCCCTCTCTGCGGCCCCCCTGAGCCAAGAGGGACCTGGTCCATCAGCCCTGGGCTGGCTGCCTGCCTGCCGCACCGTCATCCCGCAGTCCCCTGTCCCTGGGGAGGGGTCGTCTCTCCTCCTCCCCTTCCCCTCCTTAAACCCCCCAGGCACGTCTCCCTCCCATCCCACCTCCCACACTGGCACCATGTGCTGAGGCCAGGAACCGTAAGCCTTCTCCTGCCTGCTCCCTGTTCAAGGAGTAGGCACCGTCGCGTGGTACAGCCAGATGAAACAGGTGCTGCTGCCAAAGGGGTCATCAACAGACGTTACAGCGGTTGCAAAATACATCTGCAGTAATCCCAAGGTTGCCAGGACAGGGTTAAGTGTCCTCAGCACAAGCAAGCTGTGCTCATAAAAGTCAGTGCAGAAACAGGCTGTAGGCAGCGTGAAACCTCTTCAGCTCCATAGGGTCATTACCTTCAGGGGAGACTTTTGCAATTAGAAAATTCCTCCCCTGGATTAATCCTTCAGGCTGTCAAAGTGACACTCCTTTCTTTTTCTCTCTTAAAGAGTTAGCTTTCTTATTATTTTCTTTTTGTGCACACCCCTCACTGCTTTTTCTCTCCGGCCCTGGAGTAACACACCAGACTTCTGCTGCTTCCAAACTGCACTTTGCTTGAAGTTCGCTGCCTCTGTTTTCCTCCTACAGAAGAAGACATGGGCTGGAAGAATTGTCTGGTTTTTGCCTTGTGTTGTCAGTGGGTCTAAGAAAAGAAAGATCCTGTGCTCTAATAAAATATTTAATCTCTGGTCTAATAAAAGACACCACCTCTTCCTCCTAAGGCTGCCTGGTTAGTTAAAGCAGTTTCGCAGGTGGTCTGAGATGGGCAGGGTGGGTAACTGGAGCCGCCGTGAAACATAAAATACAGGTAGAGCTGCTTAATGAGGGCTTCAAATGTTGTGGCTCCCACTTTGCCTGGCAAACATGAGAGGAGTTAACAAGGAATATCAAATGCTTCTGATCAGTTTGCTAATTGAGCTAACAAGAAGAGTCCAGTTAAACCCATGAGATTTTGGAGAATGTCCTTCTGAAGTTTTTACTTCTCACTTTCGCATAAGCTCAGATCTGCCTCTCACCATGGCACTGCTGTTTTGTTTGGTCTTTCCCAGTGTTTGGAAAAAACAGAGCTTTCATGAGTGAAAGCAGCTTCAGAGGCCCTAAATCCTAACAGGTTTTTTGTTTTGCTTTCTGTATCTCCATATGTCATCAGGTCTCCTTAAACACCGAGCAGTAAACTGGGACGCAGTGTTGGCAGGCAATGCCCGTGGTTCGTTGGTACCTGCCCGTAGTGCAACGGTGGTAAATCATAGAATCATAGAATGGTTTGGGTGGGAAGGGACCTTTAGAGGCCATCTCGCCCAACCTCCTGCAGTGAGCAGGGACATCTTCAACCAGACCAGATTGCTCAGAGCCCCGTCCAACCTGGCCTTGAATGTTTCCAGGGATGGGGCCTCCACTACCTCTCCGGGCAATCTGTACCAGCGTTTCACCACCCTCACTGTGAACAATTTCTTCCTCATGTCCAGTCTAAATCTCCCCTCCCTTAGTTTAAAACCATTGCTCCTTGTCCTGGCACAACAGGCCTTGCTAAAAAGATTGTCCCCATCTTTCCTTTAGGTCCCCTATAAGTATAGCATCCCAAGGCAGCAAAGCCATAATTTAACTGTGAACCATATGAAGAAAGTATTCTGTCTGGTTTTAAACCAGCTACCTTCTAATAGCCCATTAGCTTTTACATTTTGAGAAACTGGGAATAATTATGCTCTTTTCACCTTTCCTGAGATCTAAGTCCACTTATTCTCCTTTTATTGAAATTTTGGTTCATGCTTGCTGTCCATCCCTTACCTTTCCTAGCTCAGTACATCCTGCTGAGGTGGAATGGGCAGAGACACACGCTAAATTGAAGATGTGGGTACAGGATGGGTTTAGATCTTTGCGGTCCTTTCTCTGCTCCTTTCCTAGCAAGATGAGAGCTCTGAATTAATTATTAGCACTTGTATAATAGATCTTGGGGTCATTTCAGAATGCGATTCTTCTAGGTTGCCTTCTTCTGTGGTGTTTCTAGGTCTCCTCTTAGTTTGGATTCCCAAATGGCTCCCGATTGTGAGCAAACTTTTAATTCCTTCTTCTAAGGAATGAATTAGGAATATGTTTAAGGCCACATATCTTTATGTCTTCCTAAAAGATGTATTTGGCTCTTCTTTAGCACATCCTATTTATCCACTACTAATCTTGCTCTTTGACAATGCTTGTGAAAAATTGCGGAGTGCTGGAAGAACTCTTTGAGGCTTCCCAGGTCCTTCAGGAGCCCTCTAGGAAGGGACCACATTTGCCTGTCCATCCTCGTGTCATTGGGGGTGATTTAACAGATTGCAGTAGGTAGTTCTGCATCTTCATGTTTCAGTCCCTCTAGAGTTTTGAACTGAAATATTTATCACTGCTATACCTAGCACTGTTGAAGTCTATTCCACTTAATACTTCCGTTGAAACAAGGTCTCAGTCCATCGCTCGCAGTGAGAGGCTCCAGGGTGGGACTTGTCTTCAACTGCTGCAATCGCCAACTCAGATTGCTTCCCCACTTGGTTTCTTTACACCTTGAGAATTTCTCAGGCTCAGCAACACACCAGGAGAGTTCCTGCATCTCGTATGTTTGGAAAAGTCTTTATTGTAAGGGGTGGGGATTGCCATTAGCATCTTGATCCTCAAACCTTTTTTCGTATTTTAATTTTACGTTTCATTTATCAGATATCATATTTGTTTTTAATTTCCTGTTTGGACACAAAATTGTGCTTTCTGAAAGGTGTGTCTTTGAATATCCACCATCACTGTGCTGTTCAACAAAGCTGACTTGTTCTGAAGGTCCTCTGTGGAGCTTTTATTATTTCAATTTTGTTTAATATTGGTTTAATTTTCATTATTCTATATAGCTTGCAGGAAATTGGAAGAGATTCAAAACCAGATTGTTTGTGTAGGTGTTTACAGGTAAGCAAGATGTCCAAGCTCCACTGATGGTCAGTGGAGACGCAGTCAGTCCTGTCAGTGGAGTCCAAGGGCAGTTCAGCTCACCTTCACAGACAGAGGTGTGCAGTAGCCGGTCAGATAAATCGGTTTTAGGCTCCCCTGACTGCACAGACTCGACCTCTACTGTCTGTAATGGGAGCTTCGGCATCTTGCTCACATGTAATCACCTAAAAGAAAGTGTTCCAATCTTTAATTGAGTGTGACCTTAATTGAATAGTGAAGCGTTATTGCCGGTTGCTATTAGTTAGTTTAATTTTATTTTAAAATTAGTTTAAGTACATTTTAATGTTAATTTAAAAACTCAAAAACAAACACAGTACAAATTCACTGATTTTTATCCAGCCTGCTGAGGAGGATGTGCAGTTATCCATAAAAGAGCAACCCTAGCAAATTAGCTATTATTAAAACAATATTTTATTTATTATCGCCCAGAGAGTTGAAACAGTCATTCTTTCTTTAATAATTTAGAGTTGAAGGACACAATCAAAATTCAGCTGATGTCAAGAGGAATCTTTTCCTTGCCCTCAAAGAGCTTTTGATGAAGCAGGCTTTACAATACAGACACAGAGAACAAAAGAAGTGGTTAAAGTCATTGGCATAAACCATGCGAGCACGGGGGATTCAAAGCTTTTCAGTACTCCAGACAGATCAACAGAAAACTTTTATTCACCCTTGCCAGCAATGTAATCTGGAAAAGAAAGTCAAGTTCCTTGTTGTGCCTTGTTTTGGGGCTTTATGAAAGCCCCAAACCTTTCCAGACGTACAATAATTTTGCCAAAAGAAGGTGGTGTGCATATAAATGTAAATGCTGGGCTTTTGATTTCCAAGGCTTTTGCCTGTGAACAGAAATTGCCTTGACTAAGAAAAAGATGCTAAAGATGCTCATTTCCTAATGTTGACTTTTTATGCCTAAATCTGGCAGCCAGTAGATATTGCACATTTGTTTGCTAGTTTAAAGTATCGGCAAATATCAGTGATCCTTTTCATAATGTAGGAATACAGAAGTGAGCACTTATTGCTTAAAGTTTTGAGAGGGCTCTAGGATATTCGATTAAGGGAAAATGAAAGAATGATTTACGGTATCAAAAACTTTCCCTGAATGTAAGTCTCAACAAACTCCATCTATTCTGCTCAAAGCTTGTTAGCTATTTTGATATTAATCTTAAACACCTATACAAGAACGGAATTGTTGTATTAGCAGAACCTTTAAACTAGAAAAGAAAAGAAAAAAACCCCACATTAAAAACATGCAGGAGTGGGGAGTTTTTGTAAAAAGATATATATTGACATAGGTAGGATTATGGATTTTTACAATGTGGGTACTTTGCTATGGCAGCCAAGGGATGCAGCTTGAGTTCTTTAAAACCAGGTAGGTTGGGTTGTTTGAAATGCAATGTAATTCAGATACAAAATGCTAATCTCGGAGAAGGAATCGCTTCCACTCCACAAGAGGTCAGGCAGGCCCCTGGGATGTTCCCTTCTGGTCCGCGAGGCTACGAATTCTGCTCTGGTTCATGTCACCTTTGTGCACTTCCAAGCCAAGGTGTACAGAGAGCGAGAAGGACCAGGTCCTTCCCCCAGAAGCTGTGAAGTCCTGTTGGGCTCCTGTCAAATGCATTAACATTACAGTAATACGAAATCTTTTGTTTGTTCCAGCATGGGCCTGTATTCACCATATTCGCTCTGGGAAAACGGTTTACTTTTGTGACTGAGGAAGAAGGAGCTGAAGCATTTTTTAAATCTGAAGACTTAAATTTTGAACAGGCAGTACAGCAAGCTGTCGAGAATGCAGGTAAATGAGACCTAGCTCTTTATTTAATGGAAATCAAATCCAGTTACCCAGGAACATTAAAGCCCAATCCAAAACCCAGTGGCTTTTTGATCATGCCTTAAATGCTTATCTTAACCCGTGACCATGCTACAAAAGGAAGGCAAAATGAAATTCCTTAATGTGGATCCAGCGCTGTAAGCCTGCTAAGTGATTTGGTTTCAGTCTCAAGGGGTCAAAGGTTTCTGAACCAGGGACCGTTATTACTTTTATCATCAAGCAACCCCAGTTTGAGATTAGGTCCTTCTCTGTGGCTAGACACTCCACCTGCGTGTCCCAGGTTTGGAGCAATAGAGTGGTGTCCTATCACTTGATTTGAAAATCAGCTTGTAGCAGTAATTAGTTGTCACCCTGTAGTACAACAGTCATTAGAAAGGGTTGAGGTACATATCCCATCCGCAGTGGCCTGCTCTGTCTGCTCACGTGCTTATATCCACGTGGGACTGCACAGACAGGCATTCCTTGAGTAGTTTGGCAATTTTGGACTGTGACATGAGAGAGAAGCAAGCTGGCAGAGAGATTAAATCACGGAATCACCAAATCCCTGTGGCTGGAAGGTGCTGCTGGAGATCACCTAGTCAAAGCCTCAGCTCAGAGCAATGCCAGCGACATCAGCATGCCCAGGGCTGTGTCCAGCTGGGTTCTGAGTATCCCCATGCATGGAGACTCCACAACCTCTCTGGGCAACCTGTTCCTGTGTCTGACCACACTCACAATAAAAATTTTCCTGTGCCTCAGTGGGATCTCCTGTATTCCCATTTCTGCCCTTTGCCTCCTGCCCCGAGAAGAGCCTGGCCTCATCTTCTTTATTCCCCCTTTCCCCCCGAGATATTTATCCACGCTGATAAGATCCCCCTGAGCCTTCTCTTCTCCGGGCTGAACAGTCCCAGCTCTCTCAGTCTCCCCTGATACGACTGAGATGACATATTACAGCATGAAGATCTAAACTGCTCTTTCTTGGATTAATTTCTTTTTCATGCTAGTTTTGTGGTGCGTGTGCACATCTCTGTACCTCCACACGGAAGCTGGGGGAAGATCTCTGGGTCGTTGATTCTCGCACTGAAGCTTCATGAGGCAGGAAAATGTTACACAGGCTGGTAGAAGCAGAGGGCTCACCAAAATCTTTACAGGGTTAGCAGGAAGTTTTCTGGGAATTTCATGCTGAATGAAGGTTAAGGCATTTGAATTAGAATCACAAGTTATGTGAAAAATTTGACTCTATCTTTCAGTGAAAATCTACTTAATCTGCTTTCCAAAATGTTTCTGTTTCTTTCTGTGTTTAGTTTCTGTCCCTGCAGAAGCATTTTATCGGAACCACGGTAACCTCTACAGCATGATGAAGGGAAAAATGGGTCCTTCTAATCTGCACATGTTCACGGGCACTTTGTGTGAGGAACTGCATGAGCACATGGCACACCTGGGCACGGAGGGCACAGGCGACCTCAGTGACCTGGTAAGGTAAGGGAGTTTTGCAGCACAACTCTAACGCATGGGTGTTCTATATGGGAGCAGAGATGTTACCGTAAAGCGGGTGGAGCTCAGGCTCTCAAGCCGTAGAAAAGCTGTGTCAGGATATTCATCGCTGCTTCACAGTTTCAGGTGGCTGAGAGAGTGGACAGGGTTTCATCTGAATTACCTGTTTGGAAGGAAAAAGAAAACACGGCAGCTTCCAACAAACCCCATTTCCCAAAAGATGGAATAAAAGC